TTATGGGTTAAAACAAAGCAGCAGGCATAAGCTTCGCAGGTACAACCTTGTGAATGAGGACTGTCTGGACTCCAACTTTTACTCAGCAACAATAATCAGGACTTTCCAACCTGATATAATATATTAAGTCATTAAACTGCAGGCTGCCGTAATGTTCACAGGAATTTATCGAGTGTTAATGTAATTCTTTCATCTAAGCAGAAAGATTGCATTGACTTTTGCAAGGGACTTTTACTTGATTGGATTGTAATCAGTTATGTCTTTTCACAGGCCTGCGTCCTCTTTTTTTTTAATTCAATTGTAATCTACTTGTTCCTCTGGTTGCTGCACTTTATCATTTCATTAATCAACCAACTCCTCTCAAAGTTGGTGGATGTGCAGGGAGAGCTCAGTTCTTAGCCAGGGACAGAGGGCAGCCCCCTCTGCTGGCCAGGCAGGTGCAGCATGGGCCTGGGGAAAGGAACTGGTCTTCCCTGTGCTCCACCCTCCAACCCCCCTGGAGTTACTGGGAGAAGGAGAAAGAAAGACCTCTTACAGGCACTACCTCAACCTCTAGTTCTCCAAAATGGTGTCTAGAGGGGATCCTCTAGAACAGTGGTTCTCAACTTTCCTAATGCCACGACCCTTTAATACAGTTCCTCATGTTGTGGTGACCCCCAACCATAAAATTATTTTCGTTGCTACTTCATAACTGTAATTTTGCTACTGTTATAAATCGTAATGTAAATATCTGATTGCAGGATGTATTTTCATTGTTACAAATTGAACATAATTAAATCATAGTCATTAATCGCAAAAACAATATGTAATTATATATGTGTTTTCCGATGGTCTTAGGCGACCCCTGTGAAAGGGTTGTTCAACCCCCCAACTGGTCGCAACCCACAGGTTGAGAACCGCTGCTCTAGAAGATGAAGTGGACTCTAAGAATTAAGCTGCGGGAGTTGCTGGCTTTGCTGGTTCCGCTCACATCCGTGTAGTTGCTCTTCCCATGCGCTTGGCCACACAAAGCCCGGAGTGGGCCCCGATGCTGGAACCCCCTGCAGGGATGTGCATCCCTCAGCCCCCGCTTCTCCACTTCCTTCCTGGACCTATCTGGGGGCATGATGCAGGACTCTTTACATCAGCACTATTGACATTTGGAGCAGATAATTCTTTGAGGTGGGGGCTGTCCCGTGCACTGTGGGCGGTTAGCAGCATTCCTGGCCTCTCCCCACCAGATGCCAGTAGGATCCCCGGTAATGACAATCAAAGATGCATCCAGACGTTTCCAAATGTCCCCAAGGGAGCAAAACCACTGATCTAAATGTTAAACCTCACCACCACCACCACCACCACTCACAATGCAAATATTGTGAGAGGCTGGTGCACACCCACACAGCTCCCAGCTGGTTCAACCGTATTCAGCAAATATTTGTTAAATACATACTCTATGACCATCACTGTTCTAGGAACATGGGATATAGCCAAGAACATACAGTATATCTAAAGAAATTTCTTTGCTCTCAATATCTTTCTTTACATTCATACCAGGGGTGGAGGTACGAACAGACAATAACTAGTTCATCAGTTTATTAGTTAATCAGGGTGTCCCAGAGTGACGTGTTAGAGTATATAGGAGTAGGTAAGGGGAGCCAGATTGCCAGAGTTTGAGGCAGGTTGCAGCTTTATTAAACAGGGCCAAGGAAAGCCTCCTGAGAAAATGGCAATTGAGCCCTGGCTGGTTTGGTTCAGTGGATAGACTGTTGGCCTGTGGACTGAAGGGTCCCAGGTTCGATTCTAGTCAAGGGCACATTCCCAGGTTGTGGGCTCGATCCCCTACTCTCATTGTTGATGTTTCTAACTCTCTCTCCCTTCACTTCCTCTCTGAAATCAATAAAAATATATTTTTTTAAAAAGAGAGAAAGAAAATGGCAGTTGAGCAGAGTCCCAGAAGAGGTGAAGAACAAGGAAAATATCTGGGGAGCCCAGCAGACAGAGTCCACGTCCCTGAGGGCGGAGCACGCCTGGTGTGGCATGCAGGGAGCAAGAGGGGGAGTAGAGGAGACATGAGGTCAGGTAAAGGGCCAAGTCAGATAGGTCTTGTAAGGTCATGTTTAAGCATGTTTAGGAGAGTGTTGGGCGGAATAGTGAGAATAGTGAGCTGATGCAGTTTGGGCTTCTAAAGGCCCACTCCTGCTACAAAGGAGAGAACAGACCCTGTGGGCCCAAGGGAAAAGTCAGGCAGTGAATTCAATGGCTATTTCATCAGTCCCAGCAAGAGATGCTGGTGGCTTGAACCAGGATGGTAACAGCAGAACTGGTGAAAAATGGTTGAATTCTGGGCATAGTTCAAATGTAAAATCCAAAAGGATGTCCTGCCCGATTAGATGATGAACTGAGAGAAAGAAAGGGTCAAGGTTGACTCCAAGCATTGAGCCTGAGCCGCTGGAAGGAGGAGCTGCTGTCACCTGATGGGGGAATGCTGTGGAGGAGCAGGTCGGGGCGCAATCAGGAGTTCAGTTGTTGGTGTGCTGGCTGTAGAGCGATGTCTGGTAGACAGCCCAGCGGGGGCTCTGGTAGACAACAGGAGATGGGCCACTGGAATTCAGGAGAGAGGTCTAGAGTGGAGACACCGATTTGGGAGAAATGAGCATAAAGTGGAGACAGGATGAGCAGTACAGATGGAGAAGACCAAGGACTGAGATCTGGGGACCCCCAACAGGAAAAAGGACATGAACCAGCAAGGAGGCTGAGGAGGAGGAGCCAGGGAGGTAGGAAGGAATTCAGGAGGGTGTGCAGTCCTGAAGGTCAGGTGAGGAAGCTGTATTATGAAGAAGGGATCAACTCCACCAAGTGCTGCTGCAGGGGCAGCAGGGGGTGAGCTGTAGTGACACAAAGGCCCTGGTCCAGTCCATAGCTCCCTCCTCCCTACTCCTGCAATCTCCAGCATCTGCATCCCCAAGCGCCAGAGCCCCCCATCCCCACCCCCTCCCCGCTGCCAGGCAAGGAGAGGAAGAAAGGGAGCAGGGTCCGAGGGGATGGACCGCCTTGGCACCACTGGTTCAGACTGGGCAGCCCCCGATCTACAGAGAAGGAGGCAGGTCCAGGGAGGTTCTGGCCTCAGCCAATGTGGCTCAGCTACTCTCCAGCCGAGCCTGTCAAGTAGCCAGCCTGCGCCCTGGGTTCTGTGCTCTGCTCTCCCAGGTGAGCCACATCTCCGTCCCAGCCCTGGGCTCAGGCCGGCTGCCCCTGGCATCTCCTGCCCTCCTTCCAGCAGTCCCTCGTCCCGCCCCAACCCCAGCCCTGGACAGCACTGCACATACATCGGAGACATGTCAGCTTTGTCCAGGAACCATTCCCAGCCTTCCACCCACACTAAATCACCTCTTAAAAATACCAAAATACTCCCATTGTTAAATCCAAAATGCCATAAAACAAATCGCATCTCGGCTCTTTAGCTGGAAATTTCTCTAGTGCTCACTGCCGGCACCCCTGCGTGCTTCGGCGTAAGGAGGGGCTAAAGATGAATGAGCGCATCCACCGGCTGGTTACACAGCAGCACTCGGTGGAAATCTGATGTTTTATTGGCCTTTTTTCTATTAAGTAAAAGAAAAGTCATTTCCTCTGAGGCCAGGTCGATGTTTGTGGCCGACAAGCAGGATGGCTCTTCTTGAAGCACTGGCCTCTTTACTCGGGGACCCAAAGATCCGAGTCACAGGGAGTCCCAGCACACCCGGGACCCTGATTCCTGAGCTCACACCAGGACATGTGTGGGCCCAGAAGTGAATCCAAAATAAGACAGCAGCCATTTATTCAGTCCCCGACATGTGCAAGACACCGTCTCTGCTACACACCACCTCCTGTGCCCGTTCCCCTTGCACGCGGGGGTCAGACGGAGGCCTGCCCACAGCTGGTCAGGGGTGTCCGACAGATCCCAGGGCCCACGGCCTCCTCGGCGGCAGATACAAGAGCTCTAGTTAGGGCTATGCCAGGGGAGTTCTGGAGGCAGGAAATAGGACGTGAGCTGGGAAGAATGAGTTGCCCAATATGGAGAAGTGACTTTCACAAGGATGAGCTGGGAATAAATCTGAGTCTAGCCTCCCACTGGTTTCTTCTCTTTCCACAAGGCAGCAGACCTGCAACTTCCTCCCCACTGCCCGGAAATGGAGTCCAGTTCCTTCTGGGATCGTCCCGAGGCCCCTGCATGATCTGACTTCCAGTTTCGTTCCCTCCACCCACCCCCCCTCAAACTCCCTCCATCTCACCACTCTTAGGACCTCTGTCATCTGCTCTTCAGAGTCCAGAGGACACTTCCGCCCCTGCTGAACCATCTCTCTGTCCTGAGATGGACTTATCTGAGCCAAAAAGACTCCGTCCCCAAATACCCCACTCACCTTCTGGGTTCGTGCTGCTCTCTCCCCCTGGAATGCCCTAACTTTCTCTCATTCTCTGTGTTTAAAAGTCTCTATCAGATACAGTATACAACATAGGGGATACAGTCAATAATGTCATAATAACTTTGTATGCTGACGGATGGTTACTAGACTTAACATAGTGCTCACTTCCTAAGATATATAAATGTCAATCACTATGTTGTATACCTGAAACTAACATAATGTACTTTAATGTCTTCTAAAAATCTCCCTATCCTTCAAGGCCCAAGTAAGTGCCACCTCCTGCAGGCAGTCCTCCCTGATCACCAGTCAGCAACAAAGGCTCCCTCTCCCTCCCCCACTCCCCATGCATTTTCTAACTAAGTTATCCTCGTGATCCTTCTCTAATATTGCCCAGAGTGACAGTTATCTGGGTATATTTTTGGTCCCTTCAACTCAACTCTAAGCTATTGGAGAGATAGACCCTATCTTTTTTTAAAATATATTTTTATTGATTTCAGAGAGGAAGGGAGAGGGAGAAAGAGATAGAAACATCAATGATGAGAGAGAATCATTGATCGGCTGCCCCCTGCACACCCCCTACTGGGCATTGAGACCACAACCAGGCATGTGCCCTTGACCGGAATCAAACCCGGGACCCTTTAGTCCACAGGCTGGTGCTCTATCCACTGAGCCAAACCGGCTAGGGCAGACCCTATCTGTAAACATAGATCTGTCTGCTGGGAAGTAGAGAAACTTGGACACAAACCTGAGCTGCTTTTTGTTTCTTCAGACAAACCGATTAATCCAGAAAGTCTGCATTGGAGAGAACAACGTGATAGAGGAAGAAATCCGCGTGAACAGAAGCGTGCACGAGTGGGCAGGAGGGGGCGGAGGAGGGGGCGGAGCCACCTACGTGTTTAAGGTGAGGTGGGCTGAGGCGGCTCCCAGGGGCAGTGACTTCTGCGTGTCATGGGGTTGCCTCGCGACAGCCCCAGGAACCAAATGCCACTTAGTGCCATTTAAGGATGAGGAAACCGAGGCATCAGGACATCGGGCTCCCTGTCTGTCCAAGAAAGGCAGGCTCTTCTCTCGCTGCTGTACCAGCCCGACTCAACCCCAGGCCTTGGCCATGCCTGCCTCAGCGCTCCAGAGGGTCCACCGTGCCCTCCTCTGTCCTAAGGTGGACGTTCCCTGCCAGGCGCCCCCCACAGGGACAGTGATGCTGAGTGCTTGCTCGGGAGGTTGTGGGGGTCAGAGCCAGAGACCCCAGGGAGTGAGAGGAAGGAGAGAGCAAAGAGACCTCCTGCCACCAGCACCCAACCTCTGTGGCTCCTCTGTGAGCTTCAGGAAAGGGGCTGCATGAGCAGCATCTGAGCTTGAGCCCCCGGGTTGCTGTAACCTGAGTTCAGAGCCCTCAGCCCACCGAGGTGTCAGCCGCTGCCAGGCACACACTCAGACACGTTAAACCAGGGCTCTGGCTCTCAGAGGGAAGCCCAGCCCCGTTTGTCAATCTCTCAATGTCTCTCCGGCCAGATGAAGGACGGCGTGCCAGTGCCCCTGATCATTGCGGCTGGCGGAGGTGGCAGGGCCTACGGGGCCAAGACGGACACGTTCCACCCCGAGAGGCTGGAGAATAACTCCTCGGTTCTAGGGCTCAACGGCTACTCCGGAGCCGCAGGTAAAGCAGTCAAGCCCGGCCTCGCCCAGAACGTCTTCCCGGGGCCATCACACACCTGTGGCATCTTAGTCACTGATACTTGAGAGGCTGGGAGCTCTGACATGGGTACCAGCCTCCAGGGAGGAAGGGCAGGCGGCATCTTTAGGCCCCAGAGACCAACTTGCTGATGCGCCGTTTGGACTTGTGGAAGGTCACTGAGAAAACGAGACGGGCACCAGCATTCAGACCGCCAGCCCAGCCCTCCCTGGGTTTTACCAAATGCAACTGGAGGTGAGCAGAGGCAAGGAATCTGGGGCGGAGTCCAACCCTCCAGACCCCCGTGGTTCCTACCTCGCCGGCCTGGGCTGCCAGCTCACACAGCTCCTCACTGGGAAAGCTCTTGCTGGAATCTTCGTGGCCGGGCTCTGTGCTAGTGAGAGCAGCCACACAAACAGGACAGGCGCTGAAGGCGATGTGGGTTCTCTGATTCTCGGAAATCAGCCATCTCTAAAGAGAAAATGCAATTCCTTTTTGTATTTTCTCCACAATCGGAGTGAAGGAGGGTTCGGGGAGGCATTTAAAATTTGAGATTAATTCAAGCAAATACTCAAACTTTCTCTTCAATCAAGAGATGACTAGGGCTAGAAGAAAGTAGAAATAGTTATCCGGTCCACAGTAAGGAGTTGCCCCCAGCACTCTTTACAGCGCCCGGGACACCTGTGCAGGTTTAATAAGTTACAAAGCACTTCCGCAGCTATTATACATGTGCTTTTCAAAACATATCCTAGGGTTTTCCAGAAAGATATTATTATTCCCATTTTATAAGAGTCAGCGAGCTCATAGAAAGTTAGTGGACTTTTTTTTCTCTTTCATACTCAATCCGTTTTTTTAAAAAAACATTGTTGTTGATGTATTTTTATGTGCATGATTTTCTTTTCCACATATTTGCTCAAAGGCTACAAGATAGAGTGAGGTGTCAGACACCACCTCAGCTGGGGGCTGCGTAGGGCGCAGGGTAGGCGGGTGGAGGCAGCGGAGGTGGCAGGCATGGAACCAGGCCCAGTGCGTCCTAATGTATTCACTACGCTCAGGGCTCGCTCTGCGTGGCCAGCTGCCAGAACTCGCCCAGGTCCGGCACGGAGCAGGGCTTTCCCTCCACCAGCTGACATCAGCGCCCGCTCTGGCTGGAGAAGAGGCCAGCCACTTGAAACCTAAGCACCTGTAGCTTCCAGAGGTGACAGAAGGTCCCCACGACTTGCCTGGGGGCTTTGATTGCCTCTGTGTGAACTCATTCTAGACCCAGGCTTGTTCCTGACCTGGGTCTCATTGTCTGAAACCTGTCTCCCTCTTTGTAGCATAATAGCCATCTCTATCCACAGCTCCCCTGCTGCCCCCTCTGGGTCCAAAAGGACCTCCCAGGCCAGCTAGCCCTTACAGACCCAGCAGACCTGGCACCGCTGTCTCCCCAGGTCCCACCACCCATCATCTGCCGGAGCAGAGAGGGCTCTGGGCGCTTTGGGAGTAGACTGCCTGTGGAACTGTCACACGAGCCAATATTGGGGGAAAGAGGCCCTGGACTCTCAGGAGCCAGCAGGAGCCTCAGTGCGGTCAGCCTTGGCCTCAAGACAGAGTGCACTCTGCCTGCGCTCTGCAAACAGCACTTCCTCCACAAGCGCTCACTGCAGCCCAGGCATGGTCACTCCCCTACCCCCACCTGCTCTGCCCCTGACCTTGGAGCAGCTCCTCAGAAGCAGGCAGGCACGACACTGCCTGAGCTCAGAGTGGGAGGCCTCTGCACGCGTGTGCTCTGCCTCCAATGCCCCATGAGCCCTACACGTGGTGCTTCATGAAGCGTTTCACACTCACCGCCTCCTTCGATCCAGACATCAACCCGCTGAGGCCGTCTTGTTATCCCAAGACATTAAGGCTCAGGATGGGGAAGCTCTTGCCCAGTCAACAGCACAGCCCACTGGGTTATCCGTGCCTGGTCCAGGCTCCGACAAGGAGCTCTGCAGCCACCTTGGCAGGGTTTTGATAGCCGGCTGCCCAGGGAGGTGGGTCCTGGTTCTTACTGAGATGGGAAGCAGCCAATGACATGAAGGCCCAACACTTCGCGCTGGTGCTTACGGAGAGAAGGCCCAAGAACACGCCGAGTGTCATGCTGCCGGCCCCCGCCTGCCCCTTCCCCAGCCGAGCACTCTCAGGGCTTTGAGCCCGAGGCCTGGGGGAAGCAGAGGTATCAGGCGTGCACCCATCAGGACGTCCAGCTGTGGCCCAAGCAGGTCTCTCCAGGACAGAGGCCTTGGCCAGGCCCAACCTCACGGGTTCTCTGTCTTCCCGCAGGTGGTGGAGGTGGCTGGAATGATAACACTTCCTTGCTCTGGTCTGGAAAATCTTTGCTGGAGGGTGCCACCGGAGGACAGTCCTGCCCCCAGGCCATGAAGAAGTGGGGGTGGGAGACCAGAGGGGGTTTCGGAGGGGGTGGAGGGGGGTGCTCCTCAGGTGGAGGAGGCGGAGGATATATAGGTAAAGATGATTTGTGTTCAAGGTGTCACCCCCTCCCTCTTAGTCCTAGGCACCTCACCTCTCCCAGCCCTCGCCTGCCCTCCCCTGGCCGCCCAAGTGTGGACTGTGATGTGACCGTGCACGCCTGCCTCAGCCCGGGCACCAGCCAGAGGCAGGGTGTTGGCTTGCGAGCCAGCATCCTGCCTCAGGGCTTCCATAGCGACCGCATCAAGATCCCGTGTGGTTCTTGATCACCCCCAAAGCCGATGACAAAGAGGCTTTGGCTTCCCAGACTGTTCTCAGAGCCACCCTAGGGATGTGCTGGCTTGAGAACCTCAGAGGCCAGACTTCTGAACCCCATGCCTCCCTTTGGATGGCCTGGCCCCTGTCTTTGCAAGCCAGCTCCCTAGGGGCCTGGCTTGTGGCTTCTGGCCTCAAGGACGCCTCACTTTCCCTTTCCTGCCCCAGCCCACCAGCTCCAGAGTGGCCCACTCTCCATGCCGATGGGCGCTTCTCACGGGGGCAACGGCGGGCAGCCCCAGCCCGGCCGGCCCAGCCCAGCCCTTGGGCAAGCAGCTGGCCACTGGCCCAGCTCTCCTCTGGGCTAGCGCAGAGCAGAAGAGCCTTCTGAAGCTGAGAGGCTGGGAAATGGTGTCTCCTCCATCCCCACAGATTAGGACGCAATGCATGCACACACCGCGATGTTCTGTCTGTGTTTTGCTTTGATGTTTGCCTTAACCAGATGCTCTTTTCTAAGCCATGGCTGGGTGGGAGAGCCCGCGGGGGGAGCCCAGAGAAAAGCCAGCCCCAGCTGAATGGAGGGACAGGAGCCTACAGGCACAGGGGCCCTTCCCCCACGTCCCTACCTTGACCCCAGGGGACTGGAGAGCAACTTCTCAGTGCCACTGCCTGGCCAGTCCCGGAGGAGGCCTAGGGCTGACCCAGCCTGGGAGACTAGAACTTGGCCGGCTCTTGTTCACGTGCACTGCTTCCTGCGGCCCGTGGAGTGGGGACGCCCGGTGGGAGCGGGCCTGGACCTGGAGGGGAAGGTGGCCCACACCCAGCATCTACTGAGCCCAGGGCAGCCCTGTGCCTGAGCCTCCCTTCCCTCCCACCACCCGCCCTCCAGCCCCCTGCCCCAACCCCCTGCATGACCCGCTTATGCGCATGTGTGTTGAGATTGGGCACCCACCTCTCTGCGTTAAACTTCTCTGGTTTGCCCCAGGCGGCAACGCAGCCTCAGACAATGACCCTGAGATGGACGGAGAGGATGGGGTATCCTTCATCAGTCCCCTGGGAATCCTGTACACCCCGGCTTTAAAAGGTACCCCCTCTGCCAGGTGCAGAACCAACTTCGTTAGGCCAGTTCTCCCACCCAGCTGAACCCCGGGCTGCTGGCAGGAGCCCAGGATACAAAGGCGTGACTATGGGTCTCATCCCACCAAGTGCCCTGGAGTCGGGAGTGTGGTCTCATGTGGGCACAGAGGCGGAAGCCTGACGACCAGGCAGGCCAGTCCTAGGAAAGGAAACAGCATTAGGGCTGTCCCCGGCCCAGCCAACTTAGGGATGTGCTGGCTTGAGAACCTCAGAGGCCAGACTAAAAGGAAACAGCATTAGGGCTGTCCCTAGCCCAGCCAACTTGAGGAGCAGGTGTGTGGGCCCCCCACCCCCACCCCGGCCTGCATAAATACATCCAAACAGCCTCTGCGCCCCCCTCGCCAGAGGCGTTGAGGAGCAGGTGTGTGGGCCCCCACCCCCACCCCGGCCTACATAAAACATCCAAACAGCCTCTGCGCCCCCCTCGCCAGAGGCGCCGGGCCCTTCCCACACAGAGCAGCGCTCCAGGGGCAGTGCCCTAGGGACAGGGACCGAGAGCCCACACTGGGCTGGGAAGGGTGCAGGCGGCACAGGTCCGCCCAGCTAGCCGCCCTCCTTGCCCACAGTGATGGAAGGCCACGGGGAGGTGAATATTAAGCACTACCTCAACTGCAGCCACTGCGAGGGCGACGAGTGCCACCTGGACCCCGAGAGCCACCAGGTCATCTGCTTCTGCGACCACGGCACCGTGCTGGCTGAGGACGGGGTCTCTTGCGTTGGTAAGGGGCTGGGCTGGGGCCCAGAGAGTGAGCCACAGCTGGTCTCCCTGGTTCAGGGACACCTGGGACCCAGTTTCGTTAACTTCCTGACCCCCCTCCTTGGTCTGCCCCAGCGTGAGTGCTCTGACAGCTAGGCAGAGACCTGAGTGTGAAGGATGGGTCATGGCTCACGAAGGAGTCTGAGTCACCTATTGCCACCCCTAACCCAGGGCGTGAACCCCCACATCCGCACCGGAGCCAACCGTCTCCGCTAGAACAGGGACCTGCGCTCCAAGGCTCGCCCTTCCTCCAGGGCCAGACCCGCTCTGCAGCGCCCACCCCTCGGTCTCCCCAGCCTTTCCAGTGTGTCCCCTGCAAGTCTCCTCCAGATTGAATGACCCTGGTTCAGTCCATCCGCACAGGACACCGTCGTCTCCTCCCCTCCTGTGTCCCACGTCTGCCGCTGTTCCAGTTGTCACGTCCCTTTTGAGATGCAGCGTCGGGACCAGGCAGGACCTCAGTGTGGTCTGTGCCGGTGCGGCGCTGGGACACCCCCTCCTGGGCTCTGGGCCGCGCTCTCGGCCACAGGAGGTGATTCCGAGGGTGCACCCTGTTGTTGGGTCATCCTGAGGTCACTGTCATCCAAGGCCTGGAACTCTCCTGTGAGCCATTGCCGGCTCACCTTGTAGCCTCACCCGCCATCGGACAGTCCGTATCTTGGATTAATGTCTATTTAGACTTGTTACATGTTCCCTCCACCCCAAAGCGGCTGCTGACGGCTGTGAAGCCGGGCGAACCTGCCTCTGGCCCCTGGTCCTCTGAAAAGGAAGGTGGGCCTGTCTCCAGGGCTGAGAGGAGCAGGCGGCTGTGGTCCTGGCCGGGGTGGGCATTTCTGACAGGGCTGCTCACAGGAGCGTCAGCGTGGTCACCGGTGTCTCCTGGGGACTGTCTTCCAGTGTCGCCCACCCCCGAGCCCCGCCTGCCACTCTCACTCATCCTCTCCGTCGTGACCTCTGCCCTCGTGGCCGCCCTCGTCCTGGCGTTCTCCGGCATCATGATCGGTGAGTGTGCCACAGCCCTGGCTGCCTAGGGGAGGCAGGGAAGGGAGGACAGAGCAGCGTCTCGGGCTCTGCACGGCCCCCGAGTGACACTCTGGGTTGTGACCAGGCAGACCGGGCCCCGCACAGCTGTGGTTCCCTAGGAGCCCTGGTTCTGAACCTCAGCCCCGACTCCTGGCTGCTCTCGGGGAGGCGGGTGGGGGACTCTGCAGGTGGGTCCCCAGCTCAAGTGCAGCCCCGTCCTCACCGCCCCCCCCCCAACTTCACCTCCAGCTCCCATCCCAGCAGGCACTGCCCCTAGTGGCTCACGCCCCTGCACCGCCTCCAGCCCCCTTCCCGCCACAGGCGGAGAATGCAGAGTTGGTTTGTGAGTTTCCTGTTAGGCCTGGAGCCAGGTGAGATGATGGGCAGGTCGCAGAGGGCTCTGCATGGTGCTGCAAGGCTCCTCCTGCTGGAAATGCCCAGGACAGGCGGGCAGGGACAGGAAGGTGGCAAGGGAAAGGCTCAGCTCTGAATCCCAAGTCACCCTATGATCACGGCTGCACAGTTCATGGTGCAGGGAACTGAGAGCTGGTTCACTTGCAGGCCATAGGGGCAGAGCTGGGCTTAGAGGCAGACTCCACCTGTGGGTCACAGTTGCGGGCTCCCTCCCCTGGAGTTAGCCTACAGAACGTTCTCGCTATGTATAACAGAGATAATGCCTTTGCATGGTAGAGCTCTTTAGAATTTTTCAAAACCATTTAATATTGGTGAATTTGTTTCATTAAGACAACCCTAGGCGGTGGGGTGTGGGACAGGGCAGCGGTTACTTTCCCTGCTTACAGAGGAGATTGGGGTCCAAAGAGGTCACATGACCTAGTCAGTGGCACTGGGCTTGTAAGTAGCAAAGGTGAAATTAGAACTCGGGTCCTCAGGCACCAGCATAGACGCCAGTTTAGAGGCCTATTTGCTCTGGCAGTTCCACTCCCAGAAGCTTAGTGACAGTGAGCCCGGCTGCTCTCAAATCCATACCATGTTTGCACCACCCGGAGACTGGGCACAGCGAGACACTGAGGCGGCCTCTTCCTGAGGGACACGGCTCCTCTGAGGGCCCCTGTGACTCCAGAACGTCCCCAGTGCTTTGCTGGAACGTCTTTACACTGCATGGCCATCGAGGGCTGTTCCTCAACCTCCCTCACTCTCCTGCACGCGGGGCCAGACTTTCAGCACAACTTGGTGGTTCCCCAGCCTTCCCGGGCCCCCTCTCAGCCATTTGCCCTATGAAATTCTGAATGTTTAATCCTGTCTTGGGTCTGCTTCTCAGGGGACCCAACTAATGTATCTCTGCCCCTATATGATACAGCAAAATCTTTTATTTATATGACATTAAGCTTTACATTAACTTTAAATAATGTTGATTAAAAGTACACTTTCTATAATCATTTTGTTAGTATTACTAAGTGTGATGGAAAGGTTTAGATCTCAGAGGAGGAGATGGTGGTCCAGGAAGGCTTCCTGGAGGAGGTGGCCAGTGATGTGCGGGGCCAGACTTTCAGCACAACCTGGTGGTTCCCCAGCCTTCCCGGGCCCCTCCCCATTTCCTCTCAGCCATTTGCCCTGTGAAACTCTGCATGTTTAATCCTGTCTTGGGTCTGCTTCTCAGGGGACCCAAACTAATGTCTCTCTGCCCCTGTATGATACAGCAAAGTCTTTTATTTATATGACATTAAGCTTTACATTAACTTTAAATAATGTCGATTAAAAGTACACTTTCACTTGTTAGTATTACTAAGTGTGATGGAAAGATTTAGATCACAGAGGAGGAGATGGCGGTCCAGGAAGGCTTCCTGGAGGAGGTGGCCAGTGATGGGCTTCCAGTGCTGGGCTGCCTGGTCCAGGCCACTTCCATCTGTCTGCAGTGTACCGCCGGAAGCACCAGGAGCTGCAAGCCATGCAGATGGAACTGCAGAGCCCCGAGTACAAGCTGAGCAAGCTCCGCACCTCAACCATCATGACCGACTACAACCCCAACTACTGCTTTGCCGGCAAGACCTCGTCCATCAGTGACCTGAAGGAGGTGCCACGGAAAAACATCACCCTCATTCGGTGAGTGCCCCGGCCATTCTTCAGGGAAAGGGGGTGTTCTAGGGGTTGGCTGCCACCCAACACAGGTTCCTCTAGCCACAGGAGGCCAACAGAAGTGAAAGTTTCTTTTAATCGAAACTCCTAGGGCACCCCTAACCCTCCCAGAGGGAGAAGGTTTAATGTTCAGGGCCATTTGAGGGGCATTAAATCACTCAACACCCTGTATGTTCATGGGGTTTGTACAATGAGAGGAAGACTACATGGGAGGGACCAGGACTCTCAAAACCCACACAAGTGCCCTCCCTGAGCCTTCCTGGCCCCTTTCTCCCCTGATGGAGCCGAGTGGCCTCCTCTGAGCTCCCAGACACCCTGTGCATGTCACTCACTAAGCACCACACAGAAGTGTCTGTCAACCATTTGTCCCTCCCTCCCTCCCCCAGAGTGCAAACCTTCAGGGCAAGGGCTGGGTCTCAGTCACCTCTGTGTCCTTGGCAAATGTCAGACTCAAGTCTTCACTGAAGGACTGTCCACCACTGCCATGTCTCC